AAATCTTTTCAAACTGGATTTTAATGCCATCCATCACAGGAGTTGACATATATTTCGTTACTTGATAAACCCTGTGATGGATGGCATTAAAATCCAGTTTGAAAAGATTTTGAATATAGATGAACCAGCGATATATGGACTGTCGAAAAAGTAATGGCTTTTGTTATTATCAGCGATTGCGCAGATCGAACAACTTGGAGATGTTTATTCATGTAGTCAGCGGAACCTGCTTAACCAGTAATAGAAAAAGCTGTCAGAAGAAAAAGCTTATATATCGGTGATCCATTTTGTCCAGCCTTTTACTTGTGCCAATATTTTTGCCTTCTAAAATCCCAGAAAAAGAATTATTTTGGTCCTCTTATTTTCATAGAATAAATAATATAAGTTAGAAGACGAATGAAATTGAAAAATTTTATTTTAGGAAGAATCAAGTAGAACCATTTCGACTGGGTGGTCGAGCAGCATAGATTTAATTCCTGAATCGACTAGTCAATAAGAGTAAACTTGTTCCTAAAAGAGATATTACCTATCTTTCTTTTCCAAACAATACTTCTGGTTTGGCTGCTTCCATTCCTAGCAGAGGTTACTATTAGAGTGAGGAGTTTGTTCGCCAGAAATCACCTGATGCTATAGGTATAAGTGGATCGCCAGCAATTCTACGGATTTTGATGATAGATTCACATCCAGCAAGGCACATAAACTATGAAAACTCTCTACACTTTAAAAAAATATAATTGAGGCAAATTCAGATAAGACTGGAATGGGTCGATCGTTCAAACTTGATACTCGATAAATTCTTCGCTCATAAATTCAACAAGTGGCAAAATTTCTTTTCTAATAAATTTTTATTCCACGCCGATCGTTTTTCTTCAATTCCAATTTTCTTTGCCATTTTCCCTTTCTTCTTTCTGCAATGAAAGGTGCCGCATAATTGGAAAGAGTTGGCAGTCATATTCAACAGGCAATTTATGCTAGCATTCTTGAGCAAAAATAAATGACAATTCTTGAGAAGTAATTATTGTAGAAAAATCTGGTTCGGCTCGCTCCTAGCCAGATCTCCTCCAAATAAACGCTGTCATGGAGCCACTTAACCAAGTGGGTCACAAGCATAACTCGAATTTTAATTCGTCGCCAGCACAACTCCAATTGCCGCCGTTCTATTAATAATTATTCAAACTGCCAATTAATTAAAATAAGAAATAATTAAATTCAATCAAATTATTCAAATTTTTTATGCAAAAATTTGAAACCGTTTGAAGTTGTCCAATAAATTCTTCGCTCATAATTTCAACAAGTGGCAAAATTTCTTCGTCCTTTTCTAATGAATTTTTATTCCACACCGATCGTTTTTCTTCTATTCCAATTTTCTTTGCCATTTTCCCTTTCCTCTTACTGCAATTATCCAAAATTTTTAGAAGAAATACAATGATTTTTAAACGACTTCTTAGTATTTGGACCAGTGGTCATCATTATGACCTCTATGGATCCACTGGAATCCATGGTGACTCATGCAGAGTATATAACATCATTATTCGAATTATATTCTATTATTACAGTAATAAACAATTTTTAATGATTATTTTAATGCAGCTTATTATGTCATTGAAAAATCTAAGGTAGGCAAATTTAATAAATGTTTTAAAATTTGGAAGTATTACACCAAGGATCCATGGACTTTTATCGCATCATCTAGAGGGAGCGCGGAAAAAAGTCTGACGACCACTGATTCTTTTGAAGGGTCTTAGGATGAGCATGGCTCGTCCCCTCGGCAAGACAAACCTGCTAATCTCGTTGTGGTCCCATCTACGATTTCACACCACCATTTGACATTTCAGTAAATTTCCTAGTAAATAGTCTGCGAAAAGCGAGTTTTATCAAAAATGATGTGAAATGATTTGAAAATTTATAAAACGTGTAATAAAAATATTATTAAACATTTAATAATCAACTAAAAATATTTCATTCAACTATTTAATTGTTATTAAATATATTTTACAAAAAATATTCATTTGCAGAATAAATATTCGAGAAAAAAAGCAATTAAAGGATATTCTGGCATTTCAGCAATTCTCCGCCAACTCTTTCATTTTACTAAAAGGATAATGCAGTTCGATTTATGGAACCGTAAAGCCTATAAATGAGAGGTATTTCTCCGACGAAAACATTTTTTGGGTAATTAGAGAATTTTGAGCTATTAAATTTCTCTTATATCTTAAGACGAAAATTCGGAGCTTAGGTTACGGTAGAAAATTATTTCGGTGGTAGTGCGTGTGAAATGCAGTTTCTTCATTGCCTGTTTATAATAGTAATATTTAGGGTACGTAGTGGTGTTTGTGAAATTGATAGTCTTGTTTGGGTTCTACTTCGTTCTTATTGGTGCTTGGGTAAGCGGTGATTCGTAGGTGGAATGAATTCACCAGTTGCTTTGGCAAATTAGGAAAAGAAATTTGAATAAATCATAATCGTTGAAAATCTAAAATTTCTCTGTGGTTGGATTCAGGCAGTGGTTCTTAAATATTTTTTTCAACAGGCACTCCTTAGTTTTATTCGTAGCGTTTTTGGTTTGTCCGTTTTTGTTCAGGCAGCTTTGGTCGAATGGTTGCTTGGTTTTTGTCCATCATCGTAGGTTCAACTCCCTCCCTTAACGGCATAAACCTGTTATTCAAGTTGTTCTGGCGACCCATCTGTATTTCTGTCAGGAATCTCTGGCAGGAAATTTCAAATCGTATTGATCGTAAAAATGGTGAGCATGTGGCGTTATTTGATTTACTCTGCATCCAAGAAACAGGAATATTAGCCATGACGCTTGACTGAAATAATGTTTTAATCAATCGTCTTATTGTTTTATCAGAAAATTTTCATGCACCTCATTTTTTTATTCGAGAAGTGCTGTTTTTACTTCTTATATTATTCGCGATTGTATTTCAAGTAGATTTGTTCCACTTTGAGGAGCCCTTGTTGTTTCTCTTTTAGCTGTCCTCATTGACTTTTGAGATTGAGTTTTTTAAAACATTTCTCATTGAGACTGTACTCTGAAGAACCTTCAGCATTAATGCATTTCATTTTATGAAGGTTTATCTCAGCGGAAGTTATCTTTGAAGAATGAAAAAAATTACATCACAAACTAAAAAAATGTGGGCGGATGATGTCGGCGACTCTCATGTCGACCAGGTGGATCCTAGCAAAATTTGTCGGATAATCCAGCGGGGAAAGGAAGAAGTGGTGAGGGCTTTTAGAAAAAAAGAATGAGGTCAAAATTTGTCGAAGCGCCAAACTTTTAATTTCATCGTACCACTTCATTTATATTGCGAATTAATTTACTTTGTAAATCTGATTCTTTTTATTTTTCAGCGAACCGAATTTAAGCTATTTTTCATTATTTGAAGATGTCGGGTGGAACTACCATGGATACAATGTCTTCTGCACCACATATGAATGAAGATAATGCCATCAGATATCTCACAAATTTTGGTTAACAGATTTTTATGTCTTTTTTATTTTTTGAGAACAAAATAATTTTATTTTGTATTGAAATTTTCAAAAATATTTCAAATATTTTCAAGGATTTATTTATTTTCAAAAGTGTTGTAGGATTCCGTAACCACTTAATTTATGCTTATTTTTTCCAATTTTTTAGTTAAATCACCTGTCAGTGATGAATTGGATATAAAAAAGAGAGAAGAATCAATAATGGAACTGGGTAGTATGTTGGCTAAAAATAAAAGGACACTAGAATTGCGAAAAATGATCGAAAATACTCGTCCGTTTTTAGTATCTTTGGGTAAAGCCAAAGCAGCAAAACTTGTTCGCAATTTGGTCGACCTTTGTCTTATGATCGATGATCAGGATGGTGAAATTAAGGTGTTTTTTTTAAAACTTTGATTAGATTTCCGTTTCGAAATGTTTCGTTTTTAATAGAAGTTTTAGCCATTTCGTTAGCTTTATATGATATTTTTCCAAGTCACTGTTGTGAATTTAAGGTTGATCTATGTAAGGAATGTATTCAATGGGCAACTGATCAGAATAGAACGTTTTTGAGGCAGACACTAGAAGCCCGTCTAGTCAGGCTGTATAATGATCTGCGTCGTTATCAGCAGGCACAACAACTGGGTTTGTTATCTTAATCATTTTCTGTTGGAATTCTGTTGTTTGATTTTAATTTTAAGCGTTTTTCAAACTTGCTATTTTAAATTTTTGTTTAATTTTTAATTTCTTAAGATCATTATCTTGAATTTTTGATTAGCTGTATTTAGCAAATCAACTTGTTCGCGAGTTGAAGAAGGTTGACGATAAAGATGTTATTGTCGAAGTGCAATTAGAAGAAAGCAAAGCATGCTATCACTTGGGAAATTTATCGAAGGTCAAATATTTATTTCACTATTTGGTGTAAAAAAAAGCATTAACGCATTTTTATTTGCAATTTATTATTTATTTTAATTTTTTTGCAAAAAAATTTATGAGAATTTATTTCATAGATAGAAAGGAATACATGAGTGCAAAAAATCTTTTGTTATGAAGGTGATTATTTTTTAAGGCTAGGGCTGCTCTAACTTCAGCCCGAACAACTGCAAATTCTATATATATGCCACCGCGAATGCAAGCAGCTCTTGACATGCAATCTGGTATATTACATGCAGCAGCGGAAAGGGACTTTAAAACGGCTTTTTCATATTTTTATGAAAGTTTCGAGGGATATGATGGTGTAAATGAAACTAAGGAAGCTTTGCGAGCTCTGAAATATATGTTGCTCAGCAAGGTAGTACATGTTTATTAATATTATATAAAAATTTTCCGATTTTTGAATGAAATGTGAAAAATCATATTTTGGCTAATTAAAATGAAATTTAAGATAATGTTGGATGCTCCTGATGAAGTTTCTTCTTTGCTTTCTGGGAAATTGGCTTTGAAATACAGTGGCACTGATTTAGATGCCATGCGAGCTATAGCGGAAGCAGCGAAAAAACGTTCACTTTCTGATTTCAACGCGGTAAATCATAAATCCAGAATTATTAATTGGGTTATCTGTTGGATCAGCACTTTGTTTTGCTTAATTTAATATACCATTTAGGCGTTTGGAAGGTATCGGGAAGAATTACAGTGTGATGCTGTTGTAAAAAAGCATTTCAATTCATTAAGCGATGGTATGCTTGAAAAAGATTTATGCCGCATAATTGAACCTTACTCATACGTTCAAATTGATCATATTGCACGAAAAATTGGATTGGATAAAGACAAGGTCGAAAAAAAGCTATCACAAATGATTTTGGACAAGAAATTCTCTGGTAGTTTTTTACATTTTTTTTACATTTTCGGTTTTTAAAGAAGTAGTAAGTAGTTGAGCAAAATTTCAATAATGAACTTGACCAAGGAGAATGCATTCTCAGCTGCTTTGGAGAATTAAAAAATAAAAGTTTGGTTTAGGAAAGCATCGAATGAATCACGCCGATCTGTGAATCACTCTATTAATCTAAAAAAATGTTTCTGATATTTATGGTGTTTCAGTGGTGTGTTTCGTATACCTTTTTTTTCCGAAGCATTTTATTACTTTATTCCATTTTTTTATGATTCAGGAAGTCTTCATCAGGGCGATGGTATGCTTATAGTTTATGATATCGCACCTGTTGATAAAACATATGAAGCAGCTGTGGAAACTATACATGCAATGAACGAGGTTAGTCCAAAATGCCATTAATTTCTTCATTGGAAGTGCCAATTTGTCTTACTCTTAAACTAGCGTAAATTTTATTTTTCTAGGATTTTCTAGAATTCTATAGGAGTGTTATTGAATTAATACTTTAAAATTATTCAAATCAATAATTTTATTAGTTTTTGAATGGTTTAAAACAAACCAATAACGTAGATGAAAATTATATGTTAAAATATTTTCCTTCAGCATTTCACGGTTGATATTAATAAAAATCAATCTTTAAAAAGTGTTTGTTTACAGGTTATAGACGCATTGTATCACCGAGTGAAGAAACTTAGATAGTTATCGTTTCTAATTCATTTGTATAGCAATCTGTTTTAAAGTGCTTATTTTCATCATATACTATATAAACTTTTATCAGTTTTTTATCAATAATTTGCCATTAGCAATGCCGTTTTAGAAGAAACAAAGATGGCGTCTTAATTTTGTTATATATATTTTATATATATTTTCTAATTTTCTAGAAAGTTTAAATTTTCTAAATAAAAATTTTATAAATTAAAATTTTTTGCTAAATATTAATCAGGATTGCAGAAAGCTAATGCTGATTGATGAATTTAATAAATTGCTAATTACCTCAAATTGTCCATTCGAAGAAAACAAACGTAATTTCGTCTGTTTCGATTTAACTTTGCTGTGAATGTGAATTTTTTTTGTATTATTTGATCCTATTTTATAAAATATTAAAGGCTTCAGTTGAAGATGATTTTCTTTCACGAAGTGATTTATCTTTTCTAATATTTTGTATTTTTATATTCGATTGGGAAAGAAATGGTTTTTTTTTCATAAATGTTAATTTTAGATGCAATAATACAACAATTTTAGATGACTTTAGCTCAGGTCCTTGGATTCGGAGTGTGGGCATATTCACCCTTAGCAATATCTGACCTAGTGTTTGTTGATATTTATATTGGGGTGGATTGGCTGCAACCGCAACGGCGTATCTTCGATCGCACATTTGTAGTCTTAGATTAAATGCTTTATTTTTGATTAATGGTAATATTTTTCAGATACATTCATCTTTTGTAGTCCGCATTGTATTACATTGTAATTGTATAGATATAATTGTGTAGATATATTATTCCTTTTTTTTCTCGTATTGGAAAACATTGAGTGTAGGACCGAGGTTTTTTCACGTGCACCTGCGTGTGAGGAGTATTTCACTTCTCATGGTATTTTTTTCAAATCTTTACTTTGTGGTTAAATATTTTAGTAAATTATGTTCGTTTAAAATTCGAGTGATTTGCAGCGTGCCAAATACTGATGTCTGTAAGCGTTTCACCATCTTCGCTAGTTCTTTCTGCAGCGGAATATAAATTGCGTCTTGCTTGCAATCAGTTCGTTGCAACACATAGTTCATTTACTCTTGATAAGGTATGATTATTGGTTATTGATAAGGCTATTGCTGAAAATAGCAAAATTTTTTGAAATTAGTGGATTTGGTTTAATAGATAATATATTCGTGTATCGGCTAGTGAAATTTTTTCAGTTTTTTCAGTATTTTTCAGTGTTTTCAGTGTTACTTGAGAAAATTGTTCATTGATTTATATTGCGACGAGAATAAGCTTTTGGTTGGGCAACATCTGCTTCGATTATTGCTTGGAAGTTTGATCATCTCCAAAAGTAGCCTTTCGGCATTTTTTGCCAATCCGTTATCTTTATTGGCGGAAAGATCGTCATCTCATAGTGATTCTGCGCAGTTGTCCGTTAGTGAAAATCTTGCAGAACGATTATTCAACGCAGATTTTTGCGCATACGTTTTAAAAAAGGTTCGTACCAGTGTATATATAAATAATATATATAATTATATATATAATTTTTATGTATGTTTTTACAAATGTTGTAGTTCATATTGTAAGTTATTATTTTTTGGTTTCTATATATTGTATGATATATGAAAATGTTAGCAAATAGCACCAGTCCTGATTTGACTTTCTTTTTCTCTACGGAGTGCGACCGCTCTGTCAATGAATAACTAGAGCTTTAGAAGGATTTCTAAAGCATTATTCAGATTTCGCTTGGAGAACTTCTTAAGTAGGCAAGAATCGAACATGTGATATTGAGCCTTAGTGAAAATAACATTTCGCACTTAATTTTCTGTCCTATTTTAATTATTTATTAATGATATAACCGAACATTTTTCTTTATTTTCCTCTTTTCGATTTATCAGGAAAGTATTGCAGATTATAGAGATTTGCCTTGCTGATCCTCTGCCAGCTTTTACAAAAATATTTTATCAATTTGTGGATATACTCGGCGAAAATTTTTTTCGTGTTAAATCTGGTCTTAACGCACGGTTTCTTGAAACTTTGCTTTTAACAGAATTAGACTTGGAAAATCTACCACAACTAATCATTGGAATTGTTCTTATCGATTCTTCTAGAGATTCTTATTTATCTCAAAATATATCTCATTATTTGCAGTCTAATTTTATATCATTTGTGGATAAAAGCAAAGACAAAGGTTTGCTTCTTTTAGATATATTGGTAAATTGAGTAAGAATGAAATTTAAAGTTGCGTGTTACTGATATGAATGTATTTTACGAAATGAAATTATAAAAACGGAAGATGTTGGAGTTTATAAAATTCTTAATTAAGGTTTTTCCTTCGATAAGTGTTTTTATTTATTTCAGATAACCAGATAAGTCTTCTGAATAACCAATTATCATTTGAAATTTGCCATTATTTTCTAACGTTTTTGGCTTCAAAGAGTGCTGAAATTTTATCTGTTGATAAATCTTCTCTTCTATCTTTTATCAAGTTAGTTGAAAAAGGTAAATTTACACATCCATTAAAAATGAGGAAGAGAACTGAGGTAGAATCGTCCTTATCCTAGATCCTAGTCTTATCCTAGATTTGCAGAATTGATTATCGGATGATCGCGAATAAACGCGTAAAATTAATTTGTTTGCAGAGTTCACAGGGTTTGGATCCATCGATTCAACGATTTTTCTTCCATTGGAATCACTATCAGATACTTCAAATAACAAGTTATTTGCTTCAACTTCGCCACCTGTCGATCAGCTTTTAGCGACTGATTATATCGATCTCGAAGATAAAGATTTAGAAACATTCCTAGAAAGTATGTCGACTCAGAATTTGAATCTTCTTGCTCAGCAAATCAAGGTGATCATTATTTTTGATAAATGTGATAAGATTTTAAAATTTATCATGGCTTATTTAATTTTTCTCATTCTAGGAAATAGGTGTACAGTTTACACTTAATGTTGAAACTTGTGAGAAGCATCTTTCTTCACTAATTGGCGAATCGAATTCTATAAACAATTGTAGTGTTGCTAAAGTAATTATAATGATGATGAACACATGTTCATCTGTCGCAGGTTGTTTGATATTTCTTATTTCTATTTTCTTAGTTTCTTTAAACTATGAACATTGAATTTTTTTCCTGGTAATTTTGATAGTTTTATCAGTGCTTTTCGCCATTTTTCATTTTTAATCTTTTTAAAATTATTGAAATTTTTTGAAGGTTTTTGTGAAGAATGAGTAAATATTTAACAATCATAGTTAATGTCCCTGAATAACAAAAAAAAAAAGTGGATTTCAAATCATTTATGGAATTTGAATTTCCATGGTTTTAGATCATGGTGGATCTGAATTAGGAATAATTGAACAGTCATCATTATCTGCTACTCAGCCGATCTCGTGGAATCCGAAGGTCTTTGCTGCTGCATTAAGGAAACTGGTTTATTTTTATTAAAAAGTTTTATATTCTAGATTAGCTAATGCAAATCTTAGGAAAATTATTTTCAGGGAACATTGAGCTGGTGTGAAGTTGTGATGCACTTGGACGATCCCTCGTTTTTTGTCAAAAATAAGGTTCAGTTGCAATTCCTAACAACTTTTTTGTTAGAAGCACTTGGATCAACACAGTTTCCGGTTGGGTTGATATATAGAGAATGGAATTACTATAAAGCTGGACAAGTTAGTTTTCTTTTATTGTAATTTATAATTCTTTTTGGAATTTGCCTTTCTTTTCATTGAATGTAATTCAAATTCCAGCTATCGTGGATTGAACAAATCCTCAAAAATCCTGATGTCTTTTGTTTTGTCGACTATCCTCATCGACCTGTTAATACTTCATTGTTAAAAGTTCAATCCGAAGAAGGAAATAGGGACTTATCATCGTGGTATGTTTATGGTATTTGGGGAAATGCTTTTCAATTTATCGATTCGCAAGTTTCTGGATTTTGATTTTAGGCACTCCTTGGATCTTCTTGAAATTTTGTTGAAGTTAAGCGAAGTAAAAAAATTATCTAATAATGTCGCGGCGTTGATTCGGAAACCGATGTCTAATATACCGGATATTTTGGTGCTGGCATTGATTCAACTTCAGGTATATAGTTTTCAAGTTAAATTTTTTACGAGAAATATTTTTTTATTTATATTAGAAATTTAAAACTACCAATTTTATATAAATTATTTCAGTAGTATATAATTTTTATATGAATCATACAAGCTTCAGCCGCAAGCGTTTGAAATTCGTCGAAATTACCTTGAAACTCTAATACCATCATTGGTTAACAATCATCCGAATGCTATACCCGTTTTGAATGCAGCTTGGAATTGTGATGAACTTGTCAAACCTCCATGCCAAATACGAGCAATCATTCTTTCATCACTTTGTCTTTATTACGAGAAAAGTACTGATGATTTTTCATCAAAATTAAATCGAATATTGGAATTGGCTCATGAATTGAAACCAAATGTATGTACAGAATTTATAAATTTATATTTTGTCAATCTTTTTCTTCATATCTTCAAAATTGTCGTAAGTTCAATTTAAAAATTTATATTTTTAGGGTCTAGCGGAATTGTTCAATGTACCACAATATCCATTTAGTATTGATTTAGCTTGTCTAGCCTCTCGACGGGATTTCCTCAAATTGGATAAATGGGTTGAAGATAAACTAGCAGAACAAGGCGTCGGTTTTTTATTTACTTTTTTAGTCATATTCTTCATATTAATAATATTAAATTATTTGCTTTTATCTGTGTTGAATTATTTTCTGTCTTTATTGCTATAAATAATTTTTCATTAAATAATAAATTTTAATAAATTTGTTATCATTTGAATTTTTTTAGTTCAACATTTTCAGGATCAGTTCGCTCGACATCTAATTTCATATATTAAACAAAGGTTTCTTCATATGGGTGGCTCATCTTATGCTAATGCCATTCCCCAAGATACCGTTCAGGTTCTACTTAGTTCCTTGTCAAAGGCTACGTCGATTTCAAGTTCAACCATCAGTGAACTACAACAGATTTTTCTCCATCTCCGACAGATTCAGGTCTATATTTTAATATTTTATTTGTTAAATAACAGTTTTGATTCAAAGATATAGTTTCTTTGCCTCTTTTTATATATAGATCCATCATTGTTGTTTTGATAAAAAAAAGATAAAAATTTTTAATATAATATAAAAATTTTTTGTCTCTTATTTTAGGCTAAAGATAATCGTCCCGTCCCCGTAAATGTTAGTTCTCGTACACATTTGAGTTTGGGAACCAGTGGAAGATCATCGAACCTTTTTACTGGGACTGTTGGATCAGCGTCAACTGTTCAGCAGAATAGTGGAACATTTAACGCTTTCTCTTTGATTAGTGAGTTTTTAAAAAGTGCAAATATTAATGAAAAAAGATGATTTAATGGTGAAACTGGTGATTAGAACAGTTTCTGGATCACAGAAACTGAACATTGGCTGAAAATTTTACTTCAGATTTTTTCATTCATTCATTGATATATGTGATAAAAATAATTTTATTACTTCGTTCATATGATCTTTTTATCAGTTTTGATTCATAGGTATAGTTTCTTTGCCTCTTTTTGTGTATAGATCCATCAACACAACCTATGCATACTCGTCAACAACAGCAAAATACTTTACCCGTTCAAGTCTTCAATTCGAATCCATCCTCCAGTGCTCTCAATTCAACGCCTAGTGGCTTTGCACAGCAAACAGAGCTTATAAAGGTGATTTTAATCTTATGCATTCCTGTAACCGCCTTATTCTGTTTTTGGCTGGTTTATCATTCATTTTTAAAAAATGCAAATATTAATAACAATAAAGCTAAAATAATTATTAAATATATATAAATAATATAAATAATAATAAATGATTTTTTTGTAGCCAAATTTTGGAGCAACTCATACACTTTCAATGTCACCATCAGGGCAGATGCTACGTAATTTTATTGGATCAAATGGTTCAACAAATCGAGCTACGTCAGGTCCAAGTGGGCCTGGATGGGGCTTACCTTCTGCAGTAGCCCGTGAGTTTTTGAAAATGTATCACAGTTTTGATCTGTTTTTTTAATATATGTTTAGATGTTTAGATTTAATATATGTTTTAGATATAACATTTTTTTTGTCTTTTGTTTCTGAGCTGAAAAAATTTCGATTTTTAGCAACTACTGCGTTAAGAACAACTCCTGGTCCTATTGTTTCGACCACTGGATCAGTCGACTTTCGAGCGCAGTTACCACCTGCTGCGCCTACTTCAGGTAATGTTTTTGTTTTAAGTGGATTTGATTATTAGAATAATAACAGAATAATCAATAAATACATCGTACTAAACAAAATTTGTTTTTTATATCAGTTGTTTTAAGGGACAATTCTAGGCAATATGAGTGGATTTGGACACAGCAGTATCCAGCAACATTCAGGAGTGCCATTAACATCTAGTGGGCGTTTAAACATGCCAGTTCCGGAGGATCTTACAAAAATGCATTTTTCTGAAGAAATTCAAAATGAAGCCAATATGTATTTTCAACAAGTATGTTTTTATTTTTACATTTTTAAATACTTTTAAATGATATGACTTGAAAGTTATTATAGCAAATTTCTCTCAATTTTTCTTTTCGTTACAGAAAATTTTATTTTTTTTTCATTTAGATTTATGCTCAAAATAATCAGATGCCGGTCCAAGAATTCCTTTCTAGATTAAAAGTATTCAAGAACTCTTCAAACCAAAGAGATCGGGTCAGTTCATTATTTCCTTCATCAAGATAATCATATTATTTTGTGCTTATTCTTTATTGTAAATATTGCATTAATAAGATGGAATTTTATTTTGTGAGTATATTGAGTATATTCTGCCCTAATATTGTTTTTTTTATTGTTATTTATTTTAGCTTTGTTGTTATTGTTAGCTTGTAATTTATAGGATATATTATCTTGTGTGGTGAAAAATTTATTCGAGGAATATCGTTTTTTCCGAGAATATCCCGAGCGTGAATTAAGAACGACTGCTGAAGTCTATGGTGGTATTATACGAGAAGGAATTGTGACGTATGTCTTTTTTTGCTAATCCTTTTATGATTTGATAGTTATTTTCCGTTACGAAGATTATAATTGTAACTTTATTGAAGTTTACATTTATTTTTACATTTATTTTACATTTATTTTTTATTGATCAGTTCTTTATTTATATTTTATATTTCATACAAAATTTTTTAGGTTTGCTTCTTGAATCTTGAATTATTTGAATGAAATGTTATTTTTTGAAACGCTTTATTTACAGAAATTTGCAATTCGCCACTGCTGTGAAAAAAGTACTTGAATCATTGCAGTCTGAACCTGGTTCCATGCTATGGACCTTTGGTATAGTATCTTTAACTGCTTGTAGGCAGAGATTATGTGCATATCCTAAAGTTTGTTTGATGCTTGCTGGTTCTGAATCATTCCAGCGTTTTCCACAAATTCTAAAGGTTAATTTATATTTCATTTTTTGAACCAATTATTTCTTTTCGTTCATTTTGTTTAAATACTAACTTTGAAAAAGTCCTAGAAATATTCTGTTTTTTGCTAAAGAAGATCGCTTTCAAATCAAATCGGAATGGTTGATTTTGCTTAGGATTTTGTAACTGCCGGTATACAAGGGCATCTTCCACCAGGACAACCAGAAACAAGTTGGCAATCTCAGAGGGCACCTGTGAGTCCTGCTATTGATACCAGTCTTCGAACTATGCCAGTTAGATCGGTGAGAAATTTTTTAAAATATTGATTTAAAAAAAATAATTAAAATTACTTTAATAAAATTATTTATTAAAAAATATTTATTAAAAATATTCATCTTATGTATAAGTGGGTTTCTAAATTTTGGATGAACTTCATGTTAAGTTTAATTCCATTGTTCAATTTTTTGAATTCTTTGAGATGTTTGAGTCTAATGGTTGATCGGCACCGAGCTTTATTGTTCGGCTCCCTGTCCCTTGGCAGGAGTTAACATGTCATTAAAGGTCGATGATAAAAAAGTGGAATGGTTCTCTGACAGATGATGCCAGTTGAACCTGTTTAATTAGTAATGATGAATGTTGATAAAGCAGCAGAGGAGGGAAGTTTTTTCAAAGTTCCTTGGTCCTTGAACGAAATCAGTGAAGGTTATTTATATCTTGATGTATCAGATATTAATAATAATAATGTGACAATAATTTTAATTTTTACAATAATAAGGGGCCATCGGTGCTATCAGTTACGAGTGTCGATACTTTGATTTGTGCAACCGAAAAGGATGGCCAAATATTCAAGCAACCACCAGCTGACATTTGCGAGAAGGTCGCATTCTTGTTCAACAATCTTAGCAAGGCAAATCTTCCTATAAAAGTTAGTAAATTAAGTTAGTAAATTAAATTTTTGAAACATTTTGATATTTTTTTTCTTCATGAAGTGACTTTTTATGTTTTTAGATCGAAGAAATGAAACAAATTGTGTCCGAGTTAGGGGACGAATTTTTGAAATGGCTTGCCCAATATTTAGTGATGAGACGAGTAAGCATCGAACAGAATTTCCAGCCGTTATACAAAAACTTTGTGGAATCTCTTGCTGATAAGAATTTTGAAGATTATGTAAAAGAAGAAACATTTCGAAATATCAGGGCATGTTTACTGTTTTTTTATTAATGAAAAATGTCCTTAGTTCCTATACAGCATTCGAAATGATTTTCGATGGAATATCGGATTTCATCACTCGAGCATGGCTGTAAAAGAAAAGCATAAGAGCCGAAGATGCTTTTGGTCATATAAGCGTCTTGCCGATGTAATGTGACATATTATCATTACTCTCTTTTTGTTCTTTTTGTCGTATTTCATATATTTTTCATATATTTAATTTTCCTTCAAAATTTTATGATATATTCAGTGAAATTTTTGCAGATTTTACTTCGATCTGATAAAAGGCAAGCAGCAAGTAATTTTGGCGATCGACAATTATTAAAAAATCTTGGACTGTGGCTAGGAAGTATAACCATTGCTGACGATCATCCGATTACAATAGCAGTAAGCCTAATAACCATTTTATATCATTAATGAATAATTCAGTTCAGTTTTTTTTATTTCAATTCATTAATTCCTCATAGTAAGGGAAAGAAATTTAAATTCAACTCCACTGATATACTTTCATTTTTGTTTATTGTTACTATCTATTTGCTATTTTAAATAGATGCGAATTTAAAAAGGGTTTAAAGGTATTTTTATATCATAAAATGATTTAGGAATTGGATATGAAATCATTGCTGATGGAAGCATATTATAAGGGCCAAGAAGAATTACTTTTTGTTGTTCCATTCATTGCTAAAATCCTCAGTTCATGTTGCAAAAGCACGGTAATGCGGTCTTCTTTTATTATTTCTTATTATTTTATTATCTGTATGTACATTATATCTGTATGTACTTTTAATAGATTTTTGGTCCGAATTGTGCCTGGATCCGTGCTATTTTACGCGTAATGGCTGAATTACATTTGGAACCTGATCTCAAACTTAATCTGAAGTTTGAAATAGAAGTATTATGTAAAGAATTGGGTATCGATCTGCGCAACACACCCGTTGAAGGACTTCTTAAAGATACAGAGCGGCTTATCCGACTACCTCAGCAATTGAGTGAGTTGAAGATTCTGAAACAACCTGAGGTAAATCAATTTGATTTCTCCACAGTCATCATTATTTATCATGCTAATTTATATTTAAACGTTTTTTAAACGTTTTTAGATTGGATCTTCACCTGTGGCATCTACCAGGCTTATTGAACCTACTGTAAGCATCAATACTTTTTCTCAAGGTGCACAACAGCCACTCAGTGATGTAGAGACTAACACAAGTCTTACTTCGTCAACTTCGTTGTGTTAGTTATTAATCAGTCAGACGCTTTTTTTTTCGCTTTCATTATTTTTGTTAAAAATTGGAAATGTATTCTATTAAATAAAAAAGACCAACTGTAATGGCAGATATAGTTATTTTCAGTTCGGATTCCCTGTTATATTAAATTTTTTTCCATCAGCTCTCAAGTTCTCTTCTTTTTTACTTCTTTTCGGATATTCTTTCTTCATATCCTTGACTCTGTTCCATTCATTCCCCGTTATTCCTGTCTTTCTTAATTATTCCTGTCTTTTTAAAGATTTGATTTATAGGGATTTATGATTTCTATGTCAATGGTAGATTAAACTGGATTTTAAGAAATGAGGATTGGTGATATTAAGGGGCTTTGGCTGGGTTTAAGGAGGACAGATTGGTTGAAAGAGATGTTGAGATGTATCAGAGGATTTTGGCAAAGACAAGTGGTAGGGTTCTACAGAAAATATGGTAGATATTAGGGAAGATTTTAGGGAATGCATAAATATTGAACATGTTGGCCTGATATTTTGCAATTTGTATTATGCTTTTTGTCCTTTGGTGAGGTGAGTTTGGTTGTCATAGTTTTCAACATAATACGAAATAATCTTGTTATAAGGCTTCTTTTTAATAAAAATAAAGCAATATATTTTCAGCTGGACCGATTCCTCAGCAAGTATCATCTGCATCTGCTTCACATCTTGCATTGGTTCCTGCACATTCATTGGCTCATTTTCATTATCATGACATAAATGTGGTTTCACTGGATGGTCTCACACCTCATATTAAAATGTCCGCTTCTCTTCCTTTGTTTCAGGTGATTTTTCTTTTTGTTCCTAATTCATTTTCTTAATTTAATTCATTCATTGTTTAGAATTTTTGTTTTGATGTGGTGGTTGCCAAAGTACATTTGCAATGTTTCGACAGGTTTTGTCATTATATAGTTTTCGATTTTCTGTTCAGGTGAATCCTCAATTAAAACATGTGGTTAAACCAGCAATCTGCCATGCTTTAAAAGAATTGATGGGTCCATTAATCGACAAATCGTTGCGAATCACTTTGTGCGTTGCAGAGAATCTTTGTAAAAAGATAAGTTGATATAAAGATAAAATTCATATAAAGTTTTTCTGAAAATTTTCAATAAAAAATTTTTTTTATTGTTTATAGTGAATAGTTTCCTCATTTTTGTTTTTATTAAAAACTTCTAACAATTTTATAAGGTATTTTTCTAAATTTTTTAATTTTTAACGATTTTGCTTTGGACGGTGATGAACAGCGTTTGAGACGAGCAGCTCATAATATGGTTCGTTCAATGTCAGCAGCAATGACATCAATAGTCACGCGAGAACCTCTCCGAAGTACTATTCTTAGTTTTCTTAAGCAAGCTTTTTCGAATCATCTGCAACCAGTTAGTGCTGATCAAGTACGTTCGTCTTTTTTTATCTTGTAAATATGAATAATGACCAACTTTAGCTTGTCGCATTTAAATTTCGTTATTTTTCCAACTTTATTCATTCATAAGTTGTGACATAAATTGAAATTTTTTTTTTGTCATAAATCCGCATCATGGTGGATTTCTTTCTATTTTTTTAAGTTTCCTGTTTCCTTTGAAGTTCAAAGCAGAAATTTTTCAGATGAAATTAATTGACGAAGCAGCCATGAAATTAACTGAAGATAATATTGAGCTAGCAACAAGCTTCTGTACCAAAACTGCTTGCGAAAAAGCAATACCTGAGCTAGATAAGCGATTGGAATCTGAATATATCGCTCGGAAACAAGCGCGTAGAGATGGAAAGCAGTATGTGGATCCGGTTGCATTAGCACATGCACAACAATTACCCGAAAAACTTCGTCCTGGTCCAATGACTGCTCAACAGATGGCTATTTATGATGAATTTTCGGGGTAAATAATTAAATGCCCATGAATTTTCATTTTAATAATTTATTTTAAATGCTTTATTTTCTGTATATTTTAATTTTCGTATTTATTTTAACCACTGGAAAAAAAGGTTATTTTTAGTCGTATTTGTGGGTTTAAACCGACGACGGCTGAGGATATGATAATAGATTTCAATATAATGAAGTCATCGACTCCAAATGCACAACTACAAATACAGCAGGTACATTTTTTAAGTCCTAAATTATCTTTATTTTTTGTTTTTGATATCTTAAAGAAAGTTTCTTTCACTACAAAATGGAAATTAATTAAAACAAAGAATTATCCTCAAAAAGAATTATTTTAAAAATTTGACAATTTATTGCTTGACTGATTGTTTTTAGCCTGGAAATCATGAGAAAGAGATTGATGACTTCGTGCGAAATCTTCAACTTATGGTATTCGACATCGATTCATTATTAGCAGCAAGCGGTAATATCCAGTCAAGACCAACTGTCGCCGTTGCTGCTATACGTGACGGTTTGTCGCAATTGGCCATGAATCCACGTGATCCTATACAGTTTTATAATTTAATTCAACGGATGGTTGAGCAGTTACTTCATGCATACAAAAGTCCTGATACATTGATTCAACAACAAGGGCCAAACATTCGTAATTTTTTCTATAACTTTTTTCTTTTTTTGCAGTATATTGTTATAAGTAATATCGCAAATGATATTTTTTTCCACATTGCAGCGAAAGGTCAAAATGATGTTGAATGGTTCATACGTCTAAGAGATGTTTTTGTCTCAACTTGTCGTAGCCTTTGTTCACAAATTGCACCACTTGAATTGGCACGCCGAATCACTCGTTTCGTAATTGAATGTCGTCTTGACTGTAGATTCAACATTGATGCACTTGATCTTCTAATAAAACATTCCTTAATTCAACTGAATGTTTTCGATCAACATCTTGCTTTACAAATCGAAGGAGGCAATAATTTTGAGGTTTATTTTTCATTATTTAGAAATTCTTTTAAACTCGATAACTACTGTTGTCACTTTTTATATATTGAATGATTCGAATTATATATTATAAGTGCCGGATGTGAAACGTCAATGGATCTTTTCATGTTTTTTTCACATCCATTTATTCCATTTAAGGCCTTGATATTTGCCCAACGATTTGTTAAAGCAAATTTCGATTCTGGTCCAAGGCAACATGTTGTTGAAAATTTTCCTCGCACTTTAGAACAACTCGCAAAAATTCAACAGTTTACCCAGAATCGGCCTACACCAACTGATAGGTATTTTTATGCTGAATTTTTTCGAGATTTGCATTTTTTCACATATTAATATTTCTATAAATTAAATTCAGTTTCCATTCTGCTGTTGTTCCATCTGGATCTGAAAGTCCTGCAAGTCCAGCAATACGTACAGTTCCAACAGTCTCGAGCATACCTCATAATGATAGAATGCATTTGCCTAATATTTCGCTAAATGTTACAAGTAACTCTATGTCTTCTGTTAGTTCCGTTAATGCAGGAAGATTCGGAATGGATGATGCAGATAGTAGATTCGTTCAAGAATTGCAAAGCAAGGCTGAATTTATTTTACGTGAATGGATTCAGATGTGTTATAGTTCTATAACTGTCCGAGAGCCACAGCAAGTTCTTGCTCAAATTGTCCATATAGTATGATTTTTTTTCAAATTAACCTAAGTTTTGTGATAGTATTATCATTGGATGTTTTTGCAGAGTTGTGTACAGAAATACAGAAAATTTTTTGATTTTAAGATGATTTTCATTTTTTTTATTTTTATTTTTATCATTTACCAATATTTCCCCAATATTTATTTGTATACGGGTTTTTTCGTTTTTTTTTTGCTTTCTTATTCTTTGAAAGGCATGCTTTCTATTCATTTCACTAATTTTTCAATATATTTGCAATTTAGATGCATGAACATGGTGTACTGTCTACGGATGAAATGATAACGAAGTTCTTCCGAATATGTACGGAAATGTGCGTGGATGTTTCTTATCGACTTCTTAAAAGTGAGGCAGCTACAACGCAACCCACTATTGTGCGACAGCGTTGTTATTATACCTTGGATGCTTTCGTAAAACTGTCGTGGTATATATCTTTTTATAAAAATCCTTATTTTTTATTTTTACTTATTTCATTCGGTTATTATTTAATTTAAATTGCTAGTTAATATTGCTTTCAGTTTAATGATAAAATACAGCGATGGTATCCATATGCAGATGAAAGTTAGCTTATTGAAGAAGATTTTAAATATTGTTACTACCGTGTTAACTCTTGACCATGGTGTATGTATTATTTTTTTATTCAAAATTTCCTATCGTTTTTTAGGAATCGTATATGCTGTTTCGTTTGAATAGAGCAAAGGATTAAGCCTTTTTTCGAAAGTAAAAATTTTAATTTTAAAAATTCAGTTAGTACTTTCACTTTTAGGCGCGAGGTAATGATTTCCATGCTATGCCTTACCACAGAATCATTATCGGAATGTTTAATGATCTTTCACAGGATCCAATACTGGAATCAGTATCATGGAATATCCTTGAAGCTTTTGGGTAAATTACTTAATGTAATCTTTATTTCTAATGTTTTTTCTAGTCATTAATTTTCGTTATGTTTAGTGTAGTATTTTCTTAATTTTTAGACAGGCATTATTTGTACTACAACCGCGTCGTGTTCCTGGTTTTGCGTTTTCGTGGCTCGATATTGTTGGTCATAGGAATTTTATTGCTCGGCTTTTAAAAGACAGTGCAGATACTTTGAAAACAACTGCTATGTACACTCAACTGATTATTTCCCATTTGAAATTTTTGGCTCCCTTCCTACGAAATATTCATTTACCGAGAGCAATAAATACGCTCTATAAAGTATGCACATTTTTTTTGAAAATTCTTCGCTTTAAATTTTATTTTTTTTGAGTTGTTTTGGTTCTTACTTATTCAGGTTTTAATTATCAATTCTATTTATTATTTTTCTATTTATTTTTTATTTTCACCTATAGAATGAGTCGATTTAGGGTACTCTTCGTGTACTTCTTGTCATTCTGCATGACTTTCCAGAACTATTGTGTGAATATCATTTAGTGATTTGTGATGTTATTCCGCCTAATTGCGTACAACTTCGTAATCTAGTATTAAGCGCTTACCCAAAAAATATGCGCTTACCAGATCCTTTTGGATCTTGTTTGAAGGTAATTTACTTCTACATTTTACACTTTTTTACACTTTTTTCTCAGTGATTTATTTTTACTTTTAAATTTTAATGATTTTGTGCTACGATTTTTTAGATGGAAGGTATTGCTGAAATGTCTCTTGAACCGAAAATACATATCAATATGGCGACCATTATTCCAGTTGATGTGCGTACTCAGTTGGACGATTATCTTACTAATCGCTCTTCAATAGATTTTCTTGCCAAATTGCCTGGTTTTCTTCAAGTTGATGTAAGTGACTATCGTCAAAATTTTATTTATAGTTTTAACATTAAAATTTTATAGTTTTTAGTTTGCTATAATTTGAAAATTTTTATTTAAATTTAAATTTAAATTTTTCAGGCAAGTGCTACATCAGGATGTAAATATAATATGACAGTGTTGAACGCGGTTGTATTATATGCTGGAATGCGTGCTATTCAAAATATAGTGGAGAAACAGCAATGTATAACTATGGCTACAATTGCACACACGGCCTATATGGATATTTTCCAGAGTTTGTCAGTTAGTCTTTGCACAGAAGGTGATTTTTTGACTTTGTAATTTTTTAAAATATTTTTTGTTATATTCTTGAATAATTAGTGCATTCTCAGTTGTTTGATAATATTAATATTATGCTAGAAAAATTAATTTTGTAAACATTTGAATGTAAAATATGAAAATTTTTATAGTTTTTTTTATGATTGCAAAATTTAGGTCGATATTTGTTGTTTAATGCTATAGCAAATCAGTTGCGCTATCCAAATAGTCACACTCATTACTTCAGCTGTACACTTTTATATCTTTTTCTGGAAGCAAACACGGAGATTATACAGGAACAGATCACGCGGTTTGTCTTCAAATTTCATACAGGAGTTTTTATACAGATTTTTGTAATATTCATTCATTATACATTATAATATTCTTTATACATATATAAATATTTATATTCCATGCTGTTACATATTTCGATAGAATTTCAAAAATTTTTATAGGTGATGGGTGGCATGCGAAATTTGCTGAAAACTTGCTTTTTAACATTATTAACCCATAATTCATGAAATATCAGCTTAATCAGATTTAAACGCTCTTGTATATTTATTGATGAATATTTTTTAGGATTTTATTTGAACGTTTGGTTGCATTGCGTCCTCACCCATGGGGTCTTTTGATAACATTTGTCGAGCTGATAAAAAATCCGATATATGGGTTTTGGAAACACAAGTTTGTTCGATGTGCACCAGAAATTGAAAGGCAGTTCTTTTCGCTTGTTCTCTTTTCTTTTCTCATTTTAATCATGCAAAAACAATAAATTCGTTGTCTATATGGTTTTTGAGACTATTTTGTGAAATTATTAGCTTAATAGAATTATGGCTTTGTGGCTTGAAAAAATCCTTTCATATCTTAATTATTTGCTTTTAAGATTGTTTCAAAGCGTTGCTCATTCATGTATGGCTCCCGGAACTTCACGTACTGCGGCCGTGAACGCTTCACATAATACACAATCTTCGATATCTGTTGAAGATAGTTCATCGTCAAATATTTAACATTTTGAACTGGATGGTTAGATAAAATCGATTTTTTAATTGCTAATTAGACGTTAATTAGTATGATCATGTATTAATTCGTGTATTTTATTCGTATAATGATGTCAAAAACATTAGCCAAATGAATAATTAAAGTACAACCAATCGTAAAAATTTTTTGCTCTTCTCAAACATCTTTTAAATTTTTTGTAAATTTTTCTTTTGTTGTTTGTAATTAATGGGGTAAAACATTAGTCTGCTGCATTTTACAGTTATTATTTCTCATTTTCATTATTTTAATTAGGTAATTTTTTAAGCCGTGTACTTCAAAACAGTATGATCGTTATGCATATCTCTATTCTTTGTTTCTCGCGAATAAAAGAATATAAGTAGTTTTTCTTGGATTCTACAAATTCTACTTATATTTTTATGTGGAACATAAGAATTGAATATATAGAATTGAATAAAATATGAATTTTTAGAACTCTTATCATATTGGTGTATTTTATTCGTTCCAAGATTTATGTTTCAATACTGCTGAGGTTCCGGATTTCACATTTTTCATCGGTGGCTTTCTCTTTTCTTTCTTATATTTTGGAAGTGTTAACAGAAAAAAAACGTTTCTCAAATCTCCAACTATAGGATTGAATTCACATCTATTATCTTTGGTTACACCTTTGGTTATTAATCTCCGCACTAACCTTAGTGTTAGGTTGTGTACTTTTTTCTGATTGTTACATTTAATCTCTTTGTGAATTTCGAACAAAAGAATTGATAACGAATAAATAATTCAATTTTAATTAAAAGTTATTACAGTAAAAATCGAACAAATGAAAAAAGAGGTGAATATAATGAGATTTTAAAAAAACAGGTAATTTTAGGAAATTTTCGGGATAAAATTTAAAATCTTCTTTATCAAAAAAGAACGAAAAGATTTCAAGGCAACAAGTTTCATTCCATTTCGTAGTTTCATTTTAACGTGGATTTTCATTTTTCTTTTATTTGAATTTCGATATTCCTAAAAAAAGAATTTTATCAAATCAGTTTTAAAGAATTAGTTGAACAAAATAGTTTCGCATAAAATTTTAGCGGACATTCGTTTACCAGTGCATTTAAACGTAAATACTCGGAAGCGGGGATGTTTATAACACAAATTATGGTTTATTTGGTTTTATTATAAAATGCTTTATTTATTATAAAATGCTTTATTCTTTATTTATATTTTGGAGTATCATTGTATGAAATTCTATAAAAATTTTTGCTAATCTTTTTGTCTTTTAAAATTATTAAATTATTGAAAAATTATCGAATTTGGCGTTAATTATTGCAGTGACAAAAGTTAACAAAATTAAAAAAATACAATGAATGAAAAGAATATGATAAGACGTATTTTCGACTTAAATATTGCTTTTTAGACACTTTTTTTAAAAAGATGGAAAATGCAAATTTAAAAAATTTCTCTAATCTAATTTGAGTTGACTGAGCTGAATGAACTCGAACTTGTTATTCACTGTCTTATTGGCTTGTAAATGTTTTTGAACATTTCAAAATAACGTTTATAACGATTTCATCACTAAACGTCAAAGAAAAAAATTTGTTCCCAATTCTCTGTGTGTAAGGGTCGTCCTCAACTTCGGATCCTTTAGCAGAGGACGGGGCTTAAGAGTTTTGCGCACTTCTGGACATAGAACATCTCTGATGTTTTCCTGGAATCTATTGAAGCCATTTTTCTAGTTTGAGGATTACATTTTCAAGTGCTCCAATCCAATCTTGGAAGGGTCATATACATATCTCACATTTCTGTGCAAATAATCTGTACATACATAAAATACAAAAAACAAATTAGTATTGACAATCTCTTTTTTAAAAATTTTTTTCAATGAAAAAATATTTTCAATCCAGAAATTTTTAAAGTAAATTTAAATACGAGGATTTATTACCTTATATGTAATTATTTGGCTCATTAGCCTACACGAACTTTTTCGATGAAGATATTTAAGAAATAAATAAAATTTACTTTTTTTATTTTTTATTTATTGATTTGTGCTTCTCAATACAAATAACCTGCAAATGTAATAATTTTCACTGATAACCAATCTTATCATTCAATATAATGAAAAGTTTAAATACCATTAAACTGGAAATCATTATTTAAAATATAATGAAAATTCGTAATTAATTCGTAATCACAATAATTCGTAATCATTTAAATTAATAAATATTATTTGTTTTAAAAAATTAATTAAAAATAATGAATTATCGATAATTGACGGTACAAAATAAATAAAGAATGATATAGGTAGACGCCCACATCATTTTATATTTTTGTATTAAATACAGTTCTGCTCCACTGATGGTAATAATGAATTTTTGCCGCTTTGTGCCAAACTGAAACAATTTTAATAATTTCAGAAAAGCAAAACTTGCCATCACACTTCAGACTTAAAGGACACAAATTTGCTTTAGCAAACCTACAACAATATTTTAAATAAATTCACAGTCATCAAAAAAAGGCATCGATAATATTGTGAATGAGAAAAAATTGCCAAGAAATATTTGTGCCCTTTGGAGATTTAAAAACAAATATATATGTGAATATGTGAATTGTGAAAAGGATAAACTTTTAAAAAAACACGATTTTTCAGTTGATTGCAGTTTTGATCTAAATTCACTCACCAAACCTTTCAGCAAATTTTTAAATTTTTTTCAGAAAATAACACTTGAAAAATCGCTTGCGAATACTCTATCAAAGATCATTGAAGTGATAATCGTGATAAGATGACAATTAAGGTGATATTTTAATTAACAATAGTTAGTTAACAGCACATCATTCATTTGCAATAATGCAGAAACAAAAACTTGTAAAAAATAACATGCAGTATTTTAGCAAATATTTAGTGAATATTGGTTAACGATTAGTTAAGCAAAGAAAGTTGTATTAAAAATAATTAAAAAAAAATAATTTATGGTGATTACGATTAGATATTATAAATGGCTATTTGGTTATTTTTCTTATTTATTCATCATTATTTTTGTTGCTATTTATTACTATTGTATCACTATTACTATTAGTATTATATGATCATTAATTATCACCATTATTAATTAAATTATTACTTTCTCTTTATAAAGTTCTATTATTTTATTAAACAATTTTCGCGAATACTTTCATTAGATTCGTCGAATAAATCGAATATAAAAAAAAGAAAAAAATTTGACCATTCGGTCCATTAAGAGATAATAATAATAATAATGTCGTGGGCTATCATTACTCATTTGCAAAACCTTTGCTACCAATTTATCCGCGGTGTAAACTAGCGATTTACTCGATGAATTTAGTCCCAAGTTCATGAGCCATTTCCCTTTCCATCTCCTTATTTTTCTTAGATTTCGATATTTGCTCGAATAATGTTAATTTTAATAATCAAATAACAATTAAGAATTATCTCTCAAATCTATCAATATGAATATGGAATTTTGGAATTTCGGCGTTATCTGTGTCATTGTTATCATTTATTTGTTATCATTTATTACGATTAATCATTGCTGATTAAACTGATGCAACAGTACTTTTGTGTGCACCTTTTGATCATAGCGAATGATAAGCTATGAATAAGTGTTGAGTGGATTAATGAAGATTTTATCACTTCTTCGAATCCATAATTCATTTTGAAGAATTCGAATTTCTTTTTTTTAAAATTATTTATAATTGCAAAAATTAAATTAATAAAGATGGTTTAAATAAATAAATTAGGAAATAAAACGAAACCTGTGAAGGCAGAACTGAATAATAGTTGCTAGTATTAAAAATGAAACGCAAAATTGAAAAATGGTGTGCATTGGAAGATTTTGCCATAAAATTGTAATAACGATCGCGTTAAGTGGTATTCGACAAAATGTCATTATTGTTGACCTCGTTTGTTCAGGAATATATATTCCACGCATAAAGCCCATTGCTGGCCAGAACATACCAACGCATATTTCAAAAATGATGAATGCGATATAAATCAAAAGGAGACTTTCGGTGAAAATGATTGGTACAGAAAGGCAGAGCGCTGATAATAATAATACAAATCTTAAATTACGCAAAATTATTTTGAATATTTGAAATAAAATTTAAGTGCATTACAGAAGGGTTTTCAACTGCATTGGTCAAGGGTAGGATAACCGATTGGATTTTAGTCAGATTATTGTGTACAGAGACAAGGATATGATTCTTGAAAACTCTTCTACCTATTATCATAAGCCTATCATTAAGAAATCCGTATGGCACGATTGGTCCATCTATACTTATGTCTATCACCAAATCGTCCTCTAGCAGAAATTTTTAACTATAGCACACTAACAATAGCTAGGCGACTTAACCAGAGACAGTGATCACTTCAGTGATTACTTCTTTTTCTTAAATTTCACCGATTTATCCGATATTTATAATAATAAATGATTTTGAAAAGAAACCTCATAAATGATTCCGGGCGAAATTTTTGATTTAACATCTTGAATAACGAGGAACCCATCATAATTGCAAGCATGAATGACGTGAATATATAACCGTGTGGAATAACGTCACTACTAGCATGTTGCAACGCAGGGGTCCATTCGAGTACAAATACATACATCGATCCTTCGAAAAGGCTTTGAATTAATCCCAAACATATCACTTTTCCATCTAAAATCCAATGGATAGAATAAAAAAAATTTATGATTTTTCGTTTTATATTTTAAAAATATTTAAAATATAAAGTTAAAAACTTACCACGTTTAATCGCTTCTAATGCATTAAAAAAATGTTTTCCTATTGATACTCGCTTATCACCATAATTTTCTGGCCAAGTAAATGCGAGTATAACGCACATTATCGATAAAATTATTATGGCGATATCAAACGGAGCTCTAAAAAGTTTTATTTTCCTTATCACTGAAATTATTTCTTGTAATTTATATTAGCACATATTGGGTATTCCATGTTATAATCATTATCTGATAGCACTCACCATTTTTGCTTTGGTTGACTGCACCGTTTTTTGGGAGAGAGACCACTTCACCACTCAATTATAGAAGTGCAGGTGGAAATGAATACATCAAGGTTTCACCTTTAATAAGAAGTTTATTCCCGCCAAGGGATGAGTGCGGTTTATATCAAAATGTTAAAATATTTAGATTGAAAACAAACACAAAACCAAATGAATCGGCTGCATATTGGGCTACAATACCAGATACAATGGCTACCAGTGAATTGCCAAGTGTGGCATGTGAAAATATAGTTGACAATAGGTCATCATTGAATCCACGCTAAAAAAATCTCTAAAATTCGCAAGCTATTTTAAAATTTCATTATCATCGTGTTTTTCGCATATAAAATTACGTAATTTATGCTCATGGTTAGTCTTTTTGGCCTTCCAATGCCTGGTCTATCATTTTCAGATCTTCCAGTGTCTGGCTTATTGTTTTTTTGGTCTAAGAGTGCCTAGTCTACCGTTTTTGGCTCGTAAAAAAGCCTTCCCACCAATTGTGTAAATTTAAAACGTAAATTTTTGCTATTTGCCTGTGACCATTTTTAATTATAGCAGAAAGATCTGAAGTTTTTGATTACAAAATGGTAGGATACAATAATATTTACGAATGATATAGTAAATAATAAACCTTGTTATGTTCAAAAACAAGCCAAGATTCAAAAGCGCTATAAAGGATTGATGTTGCTATACCACCAAATATGCGGCCAGATAACAGGATCCAGAAATTTGCAAAATGTTTGGTTATACATGATGCACCATAAAATAATCCATATATAAAACAATTTGTCTTCCGACCACTAAAACATTTCGAATCTAGATGACTAAATAATCTCAAACAATCGAATTTTATCGCAAATACAATAATCTATAAAATAAGACAGGAAAGAGTGAAAAGCTATCTAAAAGTAAAAGGTGAATAGTAGCAGTAATAGATGGAAGATCAGAAAATTTTAAGCAGTTCATCGAATCGGCTAGTCGAATCTGTGTTCTCATATAGCTTAATGATCTGATGTGAGAAAAGATTCATGAACTTGAGAAAGGCTGACTTACTTCATAAATTTGAAGCCTATTTTGTTTTTTTAATTTAATAAAATGATGTCGAAGCTTAAGATGGATTGAAAAGTGTTAAGGAAGAAAAAGAGGAAAAATTAATAGGAATATTAGAACACTGAAAAACAAACAATTTATCAGCTATAGAAGCAACAAATGTTCCAAATAAAAGGCTTGAGCCAAATCCAGCAATAAAAAGCAGTTCTATGTTGTGTTTATCTATACCATATGAATCATATAAAGCGTATATGTGTGGACCTTGCAGCCAATCTCCAGCTGCAAATAAAATTCGAGCAACATATATAATTTATCACAACGTTATCATAATAATAATAATAATAACACGATCAATAATCATAAATTTTAAGAAAATTGGTGTTAAAATCAAGCGTATCCATTTAGTAATCAAAGATTCACCAGCACCAGCATGATTTCATTTTTAATCCCACTCAAGCAAGAGAAAGGAGAAAGCTCATGATGCCTGACCCTGTCTGAAACAATACCAAGACGGTTTGCACAATAAGGAACAAATTATTATGTCAATTTGGTATATCAATTTGATTTTGCAATATGGGATCAGCAGACGAATTTTTAAATGGTATTTATCTGGTCAGGCTACTACAAGTATTGTTAATATTAATGGAATCATTGGCGGGTAGGGAAATTTCCATCTGATAGTGCGCGAGCAAGTCGACAGCACCACTCAAATTTTTTAATATCACTATGAACGAATTCACTCACTCCTATAAGGGGGAAAGAGTTGAACTTTGCCTTTCCACACAGCCGTTATATCCACTCGGCTACCCTGCTCGATGACTATTTACTGTCGCAAAAATGTGATAAAATATTTAACAATAAATTTTAAATGATTATTTTGGAACGAAGAAATAATTCGGACAAAGTGGACAATAAATTAAGTCCAGAAGCCTATGCTAGATAACGTTTATTGGGATTTTGTTAATTTTTAGTCCACCTTATACGGAGAAGCTTTTTTCTCTGGATATTACGGGATTGTACTAGAGAAAAGTGTAACAAAGAAATGAATGGCCTAATTTTAGAAAGTTGTTCACGATAAATAGTCGAAAAATTACTACAAAAAATTACTTCTCGTCTCAAAAATTTTATTGTTTAAAACGATTTCTTCAAAATAAAAAATCAAAATAAAAAATTCACATTAAAAGAGGGATGGAAAAAATTAAAAAGATTTAATATTTAATCCGGCTTTCCTCCAATTTTCTTAAAATTTAAAATTTCTTTATAAACCATTTTCACAAATGCCTTCAATTTTATACCAAAATTTTCGGAAAAAAATGAAAAAATTAGATTCTTTTAAATGATAAATAGCTTATTCAAAAACTCCAAACGTAGAAATGAATTCATCTTATTTATCCACTACTCGCTCGATTCCGTAAAAAATCCGCGCTTTGATAAAATCAAATCCCTGCGAGGAATGAGAATTCGGTTATCCCGCATTTATCAAATATTGTTATTAAACCACAATTTAAACGAAAAAGCTCTCATTTCGAGCTATTCGAATTCTTATTTCCATTCCAATAAACAATTTCTCTATTTATTAAAATCTTAATTCAACAATAATTTAATAAAATTTTAATTTAACTTGGTAATAATAAAATTTGATAATTTAAAATATGCGAAGGAAGGTTTTTTGAGAATATGAAAAACGATATTAGAAATTAGCATAAATAATTTTCGTTTAAAAAATTTTTTTGCAAAGTAATCTTTTAAATGGATTTTTTTTAATTTATAAATAATAGAAGCAAAATGATGGTTAAATGCTGTGTTGTTTCAGCTGAGAACCAAGTATAACGTCTCTTTTTCGCCTCTTTGTAGGAATAAAGCTGTAGTTTAAAATGAAATCGAAGTGTATTTGAATATAAAATCGTGGCTTTAACGAAAGTCCAACGGTAAAGAGTGAAAAGCTTTATTACGACTCTATTTACCCCTTATACTCGAAAGCTTTAATGATTTTTATGGAGGTTGTTGGCAGCCCACTTGTTTCCCAAATGAAAATCTTATCCTCCCTAGAAAAATCCACCTATAAGTGATTCTCTGGCGAAAATTCCATTCGTTATTGGTTAAACCATAAACAACGTACAAATCATTAGAAGAGGAAAAGAAAAGGAAATAGTTATATAAATGCCAACTAACCAACTGCTAACAAATATATGATAAGATAGCTGCGCTGGAAACTGATAAAATTTCTATCATCGGAGGTGATAATTTTCACTCGTGCATAAAAATATAATAATATGCATATAGGAATTAAAATAAACACACCATAAATAAAAATCATATTTTATTTTACCGAAATTTCTACCGGAAAAATTATTTATTATATCGATCGCTGTTGAATTCTTTTCACTATAACTGAAAAAACAAGATGAACCAAAATTTTTTGATTGAAAATTTTCCTATTTTATTTGTATCGATTCGAATAAAAATTATTATTTGTCATTATTATTGGTATTTTAAATTCCCGTAAGTGACAAAATGTACGAAATGTGAAACTGTTTGAATTTAATTCAGATTCCCATATTATTTCATTTGATCCGATTCACATGTGCCAGTGGAACGCTATCAGTACAATATAAACGGAGGAATGAATCGAATCCGATGGAAGGTCAGAGCACCTCGTCAGAGCATAATATTTAGAATCTTGTATTTACCTAAAGACAATCTAATTTTCAAAGCCACTGAATCATTTTGTGTGTGTCACCTTGTAAGAACGGGTTTTCTGACCTTCCGAGTAAGTATGATAAGCTTACCGATTACGTTCACAGAAGCACAGAATTATATAAAACATTGATGATATTGATAATATCGAGAGACGCGCATTCTTTATAAATAATATTGTCTGCTCCTGTCCAAGTATTTATATTTGTCGGCATTTGTTTTCGTATTATATTATTTCGTTAGTTATTATAGTTATTATACTCGCTCTGTATCGTTTTTCTTACAAAAAAATAAATCTTGATAGTCCTAGGAATTCATTTCCACTTCTATCTTCTATTCATAGGCTGACTGTATTTCGCTCATATCGTATTTCTAATTTTGTGAATGGTAGAATTGCCAATCTTCCAGCGGTGGATCACCCAGTGAGTCGATTACTACTTTAAGAGACAAAATATTGCGATGGAAAGTAAAAACTTGGATGGATACATACATACCTCTAGAAAAGAATAAGTCGTCCACATTATCCCGTCGTCGAACTCTAAGAAACTGTCCCAAGAAAAACTAACCAGCGCGTAATGAAAGAAACTGCAAAAAAAATTTCACGGCAATTATTGCCGAAGAGTTGGAATACGAGAGGATTACGAGAGGAATAGAAAAATGAAACAATGATCATCAACGATCAAGGTCATTAACTACCATGACTACCATGGACAAGGTGGAAAGAAATCTTCTAACAGAAAATTTGTCGAAAAAAAAACATTTTTTTTAAAAATACGAATTTGATTTGATTTATATCGGCGACTTTGAACAAATTTTAACCTGAAAATTTAATATAACGAAAATTAATTATGGGAATGGGTTTTTTCAATCGAGAAATGGCGCCTTCGTTCACAATAAAACAGCTGAAATAGCTTTCATGAATTTTTTGATTTTCATAGATTTACAGTTATTTCACTGAAAATCTACAAAACCTATCCTTTAGAAATTATTTGCTTAGTACAAACCATGCAGTAGTTTAGAAATTAATTTGTCAATATTTTTTTTCCCAATAATGCGATTCATCTTTTCGTAAATTTAAAATATAACCGTTTTATTTAAAAGCTAAGAAAATTGCAAGAATCATAGGTTCGGAGCACAGATTTTTCTTGACTTATAGTATAAAACTGCATACAAAAAATAGGAAGCAAGGTGTGGTTGAATAAACTTCTTTTCATATATCTATAAATCGTATTACCAAACGTGAAATCCGAATGGCGCTGGTGACTTAAACATTTTGAGAAAATAAGCAAATCAAAATTTTTCAAAAATCTGAACATAACCTTCTTTAATGTTGTAGAAAACCTCAATGTGTTAGGTTTTTCGGCCGAAACTTGTACCTATTCTAACCATCTAAAGCTGCATTTTTATCTTCCTTCAGTTGTAAATTTAAAATTTTTTAAAAATTTTCTGAACGAAAAGTTTTAAAAATAAATAATTTCAGATTCGGTGAAAAAAATTTTTCTTTATTTATTTAAATTTATTTATTTATTAATTACTATTAAAGGGAAAAATGACCGAAGAAAACCGATAGAATTTGTGAAATAGAATTTTAAAATTGTGAGAAAATTTATACCTAAATGCGATGATATATATATTTATAATCGGAAAAGGCGATGTGTATACATTTATAAAACTATTGCCACCACACAATAACTAAAATATGAAAATTCTATTGAAAGTTTATTCGGCAAAAGACGCGAATAATAGTGATATTATCACTGAATTAACGATCATTCCTCATTCGATATGTATGATAACATAAAACTTCACTTAAAAACCGATAAAATTGTGAAAATGTTTAAACATAAATATTCATGAAATATAAAAAAATAAAAATATTAGCGAAGATAACGATATGAGAATATGACACTGGACACAGAACTCGACCACTCATTAAGATTTTAGCATCTTTCAGTTGATTAGCACTTATATCTCATTTGGCGGAGAGAAGTTCAGATGTCGCCGCAGGATCAGTTGTTGTCCAAATTCTATTAATTGAAATAAGATTATAATAGAAGGAAGAATGAAAAAATGGAAAGAAACAAGATGTAGAATTAAAATTTATAAAATAAGCCAAAATCAATTTATGATAATTGTAAAATTGTTTGTAATTTTTTAGCTAAGTCAACACCATATCTCATAAAAGTTTATAACTTTATTATTCGAAACCTTCCAGCATTATTGAATTTTATAAATTTAAAATATGATCGAGTGATATGTATGTAATTTTGACTAAAGTCAAGCTATCGTTGGCACATGCTTCCCACCTCCGAGGAGAAGTCCTTTATCTCCAAGTGATTCTCTGAGAGAAGCCAAAACCTTTGCAGCGAATCAAACTGGAATGTTGTTAAAAATTAAATTTTTTGAAATTATTCTAAATAATTCTCGAATAATTCGAAATTAAAATAAGTTTTTACATTGTCTAAAAAGAAAAATACGGTAAAACATTCGTTGCTTATAAAATCTTATTCTCGACTTTCATCTTTATAAGATAAAAAATGAAATATGGTTCTGTTTTTTAAAAATTGGAATATGAATGGTTGATTTATAATGTTGTTGGATATAATCGTTTCTCCTGGTTTTTGCCGTTAAATTCTTCTTCTTTAAAAATATTACTATGCACCATTTGCTTTGGTTGGTTCCAATCATTGTCAGACTTTTTTGCCTGTAATATACTATGGATAGAGGTGCAGGTAGGTCTTCAGTAGTCACTTGGACTTTACTTTCAATGGCTTATTTTTATCACAACGTAGGGATCAGAAAGTGCTTGCTCTCTAAAATAAAACGCAGTTCAGCATTTTATTATCTAATGGAGCTAGCAGATAATTAATTCCTTCAATACCGTATATTTCATTGAATAACAGAAAAATACTTCAAAAATATTATATAGCAATTAGTTTATTTGCTAGGAGAACTGATATTCATGAATATCAGTTATTGTATTAACGTTTTTTTCATAAAAATTTTATAAAAAATACGACGATGAATTCAAATTGAACAAATTTCCATCCATAAAGCGAATTTATTTGTGATAGATTATAAAATTTTTAAAAATCCATCAAATATAATATTTTCCAGTTTTAAATTTTTAAATTTTTAAAATTTTTAAAATATTTATTAAATATTTTTAAAATATTTATTCATTTATTTTTTACCTAAGAATTTTGAATAAATATAAGAAACTACCAAAAATATTCATTTAAAATGATTTCTTACCATTCAAATAAAATAAAAACATATAATTCGGATTATAGGTTCATTCGGATTTCGGTTCTCTACGAATCGCCATAGGCCGCATGAAGTCCATGGAGACCAATTTGACGACCACCACTGATCTAAATGGCAACTTTTACGGCAATGACAAAAATATTTTCGAAGAATTTTTTCGTCATGAAATTTTTGTGCTAAGAATTTTGCTAACTGTCGTTTTTCATAAATATAGAGTTCATTTAAAAAAGATGATCAACTCAACTTACGTATTTAATATATTCATATAAATTACATTCAAGGAAATATTTGGTGACATTATTCATTAATAATTTACAATTATAAATCAGAAATTTGTCTAAGACCGAGTATGGAGCGAGTGGCAATCGATGTAGATTCAGAAAATCCTCATTTCCAGTCAGGTATTCGCTTATGACCGATTCTAACCGAGAAAGAAAATTCTGCTTCTGCTTCAGCCTCTGCTTAAGATAAATCTTCACATTATTGCAACATTTAAATTCTTCTTATTGAATGAATTCATCGTCTGAGAATAAATTACTAATTATTTTGAAGCAAATGGTCCAAATTAAATTCAACAAAATCTTCATTCACTAATAATAATAAAAACTAAACAAATAAGAATAAGGATCTGATTATTGCTTATTAACTTATTAATTTTTTGTTCGGCCATATCAGTCCAAACTGTTTTATGACTTTAATTTGACCGCCACCATGGCGGTCCCTTCGAAATATTAACCACCAAAACAAATTGCCACATATGTTCTTGCCCTATCGGTCAGTGGCTTTAAGAAAAATCTCAACAAGGCCATCCACGATATATTATAAAAAAAAAGAATTTGGTCTACTAATGTTGTCTTTTTTTTCTATTTTCTATTATTTATTCTATTCACTGTCTGTCCTCATTCACTTTTGATACCAACGCATTTTTCAACCTTTCTCATTTCGTACTGAAATGAACGAATAACTTAATAAATAACAAAATGCAGAAGGAAACATGGAGCAATGAAAAAACCACATAATGAAATAATTATTGAGAAACGATCTATTAAGAAATTTGCAAGAAAAGAAAATAAAAATTATTGAAAAATTATTTGAGAATAAATTAAATTCAAGGAAATACTAACAAATTTATCTGAAATAATTTCAATTTAAATTGAAAAATAATTAGATTTTTTTAAAAATCCGCCAAATAATTTGATTTGTTTCAGTTAAAGTTTTTTAAATGGTTTACTACCCCAAATTTAAAAAAAATAAAATGAAAACAATAGAATTTTTTTAGAGTTCCAAATAATAGTTCAATGTTTTGAAATAGCATAGTGAATTTTTCCTGGAATTAAATTTTTCAGACCTCAG